TCTAACCTCACAGGTACATACAGTATATAACTCTAACCTCACAGGTACATACAGTATATAACTCTAACCTCACAGGTACATACAGTATATAACTCTAACCTCATTTGTATTCATACGGTCAGAAATCAGATCTTGAAGAAGCTGACCTTTGCCTGTGAGAGAGTGAACGTTCAGAAGACCACAGTTAATGGTGGAGGAGTTGGTGCTGACTGGAGCATTAGCCAGTCGAGCTGGGCTAGCTAACGTGGAGCTGTTAGCGKYCYGTGTGTTGYGTCATGAAGAAGTGAGAGTYGGACCAGTTGGAGTTGATGGGATTGGTCTTGTCCGAGCTGAGTCTGCAGCGGGAGCCACGGTGAATGTATCTCCATCAAGGATAGAAGGTGATGTCCTGTAGAGGAAGCAGAGGTGGAACGGCTGGCAGGAATCAGAGGTGCAGGAGGTCAGCTGCTGTGTAATGGAGGAGTCCAGACACTGGTGGTGGTGAATSATCAGCTGGAGGGTCCAGACCAGAGCGGGCAACAGGTAAATCTGAATAAGTCCTCACAGAGTGATTATGGAGTGAAAACAAGTGAGATGTTTTCAGAAGAAGAATAAATGAAGCAACACAACAGAAATGAACCACCAGAAATGCATTTACCAAAAATAACCCTAACAYAAACAAATAGTTAAAATAAACCCAACTACTATAAAGAAATCCAATAACATCCTCCAAGGGAAGGGCCACAGTGCCATAAAATAAACTGAACTTGAAGAATGAAGGCGTCTGAAAATAAGGGTCGAGCTAGAGAAGTCAGGTGGTCAGTCTGAGGACAAGTCAAGCAAAGAGTGAACAGGCTGTAGCAGTTCTGCGTTATGTCAGATGTGGAAATTATGTCTAAAAATAATAAAATAATCCAAATGGGCCATTCAACAAACTGACCTCAGAGACTCCAGTTTACAGTCAGGACTTCCTAGTCCAGACCTCAGAGGCTTCAMTCCAGAATCCTTCAGTTCATCATTTTTACTCAGATCCAGTTCTGTCAGGTGGGATGGGTTGGACTTCAGAGCTGAGCCCACAGCTTCACAATGAGTCTCTGAGAGTCGACAGTCAGTAAGTCTGGGATAAAAGAAGTCACATGGTCAAACATGGAATCAGAGTAAAAAAGATGAAAACCTGCAGGGTGTTAGAGCCAGGTGTTTACAGATGTTCTTCAGCTCCTGCGTGTAGTTTGAGTGGATCCAGCAGGGGGCAGCACTGGACCAACAGATCTGAGGTCAGCTACAGTTAGTTGTGTTAACATGTTTCACACACAGGATGTGGAGAGGAGACAGACACCACAGGAACACTTCTCTACTTTAAACAGAAGAGATTTATAAAACTTACAGCCTGATACTCAGTCAGTTTCCCACTGATGCATGTGACCAAACACGTCTCTGACGGACCAATGAGAGGCATGCAGTCCCACCTGCAGGTCAGTTAGCTTTTATATCTGAGCTGCAGATTTAAAACAAGAACATTTAGACTGAAGAGGAACATCTTCAGCTACAAAACAAGAGATCTGTTATGTTTCATCAAGGGAGCGTCAAATATTTGTTATTCTGGATAAAAACCAGATGCTCTGGTTTTAATAAACACTATGGGCCTCATGCAAGAACCGTTGGTACACAGCTTTGTTCTTAAGTTGTGCGTACGAGTGATTTAGGAGAATTTGTGTCATTCACCAATGTTTTCATATTCTATGATTTTTTTCAGATACGAACAAAATTCACGAGTGGTCCAGACCTGTCGTATAATTTACGAGCAGTCAGTCTGCTGTTATCCAGACGGGTTTTCCTCCCTAATAACTTTTATAT